GCCATGATGGTATTGTAAAACATATCCCAACTTCAGAGATGTTAAATGTGGGAGAAATAAGTTTGTTTTTAGAAATGATGAGATTTGAGGCCTGAATAAAATACATGGAAACTATTTGACAATGTAAAACCATAAGTACCAAAGCCCCAAAAGAGAGATCTACAACAGAAAAGAGTTTTTTCCTTTTTTTAGTTCAACGCTAGGATCAATACCATCTTCCAGGACTAATCCATTTCAGTTTTTGTCGACCTCCCATCTGCTTCCTCCCCTCCTCTCTGAGTATTCCCCCTACACTGATGTCCTCCCTGACACCAATTAGAGCTGGCAGGGGAGGACGCAGAACCCCCTGCAGTACTCCCCTCAAAGAAACCATTCTTTTTTAAAAATGTTTTTCATCTTAATACCTGCAGTATTCTCCTCTCTGATATGGAAAAACCTCTAGAAGTTACACAATTGGAGCTACAGACAGAGGACCAGAGTTTCTTATGAAGAGGATCCTGCTATTAAAAATAATGACTGCATGCGTGAGAATAGTAATTCGCATTTTTACATACACCACAGCGCTTCTTAAGCCATCCCATTTTTTTCCCCCTAAAGTGCACCATAAGTCACAAATGGCCTCATTTTTTATTCAGTTCCATAAATATTTACTCAATACTTTAGGGGTTTCAGTGTCTGCTTGGTTTGGGGACAAAAGCTCAAAAGAAGTTCCCACCCACATCAGGCACTCACTCAGTGCAATTGGAAGAAAAAACACAGGAGGCAGGTTAAATATTGCATTTGTTTTCTATGTCTAATATAGACCTTTCTGTCTCTCCCCTTTCCCCCAACCCTTTTGAATCTGTAAGGAAGAGCTATAAGAACAATGCCTCAAAATGTCAGCAATCTTAAAATTAAATTGTCAGCTTTTTCTCTATACTGCAAATTACAAAAGAATTAGAGGTTTGGTGCTAATAGAAGCTTACAATCCTAAAGTGTGCAATTTAACCAATCATCTGGAGGTCTAAAAATGTAGTACCCAAGACATTTCTACCACGAGATCTGCAGTTCTGGTACCTAATTTCAACTTCTCTACTTCCATCATCCTTCCCATTTTTCTTTTCTCTTTTCCTTTTGATTTGGAAAAGCTACACAATTTAGTAAAATCTGCCCTGAGCTCTCATATATATGTAATATCCTCCACATGAAAAACTGACAGTCATCTTAGCAATGAGATATAGAAAAGACAATGAACATCTACAGCTGCTCTGTGAATCTTCATATTTTTATGCTTACATATGTTAAATTCAGAAATCAAAACATCAGATGTACTTAATAGTTTCAGAATCTCAGTTCTTCCTTTTATAATTTATGCAACACTAATTTGAGAGAAACATGTCTCAGATCATCTCTGCACTAGAATTCTAAATGAGGATTAAAATGCTAAATTATAAAATAATTAGCAAATAAAACAAAAATTTAAATGGCAATCAATTACCTCAAATTACTGCAGGTATCACTACACTTGTGAAACCCCAAGCTTTAGATTTTTTTCCATTACCAACTGTAAGCACATCACTTAAAAACAAATGAGAAAGAACACTGCTTACCCAGAAAATGAACTGTACCTTTAAACTGACCACGTACTTTTAAAAGAAAACCCCAAGAATCTAAACCAAGAATCCTATTTTGGTGCAAAGAAGAGTAAGAAACAGATTGATCTCAATGCATTATTAAAATACTGACTCATTATTCTGATTCTTTAGATAATTTTTTAAATTATAGTATTTTCCTTCACAAAAGGAATATTCAATAATTGCTACTGTTTGACCAAAAACCTCTTCTTCCTTGATCTTTGAGACATATTCTCCCATGCAGTCTTATATTCACTCTTTTGGTCCAATTCTCCAAACAATACCTTGTGGCGCAGTTCAATGTGAGAAAAGAGTCTCATTCATTCATCAGGCAAAGTTAAAGCCAGGAAGATGCTTCAGACAGTCTGGTTTTGCCTGCCCCACCCTTGTTTCCTCTGAGCCACAGTGATGTCACAACACCAAGCAGGGCAATGACTTCACTGCTCCAGTCCTTGCTTCTGAGCACATAATTCTATACAGCCAGGGCAAATCAAATGACAGTAAAATCCTCCAGGAGCCCAGCGTGTCTGATGAATTCCCAACAAATTAGCAGCTAGCAAGTCTTCTGAAAGAAATAGATGCTGCAATTGCACCATTAAGGATCTCTCTAAATGAAGTGGTGCTAAAGATAAATTTGATTCATGGTTTTCAATGGTGCATCCATGCTCCATAATAAAGCTGACATCCAAAAGGAAAAATTGATGGGGTACTTGGAAAAGACTATGAGAAGTAAAGATGATCAGGGGATACTACTTAAGAAACCTCTCTCATTTTAGTCAAATTCTCAAAGAAAGAAAACACATTATGTTTCACTTGAAGTTCCATATTATTGGTGAGGGACATGAATTCTAATTTGTCAATTCTGAAACTTTTTAAAAGCACTAACTTAAAAGATGAATGCACATTCTACAACAAAGAAGAACACACTTGTACAGAAAGTTCCTGCCACATTTAATCCAATATATGGTTAATTAAGAAAAAAAGCCACAAAATGATGATAACATCATTTCTCTTAAGACTTGGATTGTTGCCCCTCTTCTACTTAGGTGGTTCCTTGATGCATCTGATGTATCAGTTTTTAAAGGGCAAAAATATATATATATATATATATATATGTAAATGTTTGCATCTGATCAAGTTTTTTAAAAATTCCTGATCTAATATTCTGACACAAATCAAAGTTGGCCCAAGTCCAAGCCCCAGGCAAATTGGTGACAAAAACTGCTTTTAACCTAAATCACATTCATGCAAAAGGAATGACTTAAAAATTAAATGTAAATATTTCACTGAGATGCTGACCTTTGACCTACAGCTCTTGGTTCTTCACTTAAAAAGGGTTTATGAATTAAAGTGGCTTCTCTTGACAATGATAAATCATTTACAAAACATGGGGTTTTTTTTCACAAAAGTGACTTAAGTGTTTTTTAGCTAAACTTTACGCAATAACTTATGCATCTAATTATTTTTCTTTCCTAAATCATCAGAAAATCATAATGCAAAGAGACAGTATTTAGCATTCAGCTTTTATTAGTGCCTTGCAAATTAACACATTAAAGTCACGCTTCTCTAATCTAGAATTGTTTTCCTCTCATAATAGTTTTGTTACTCCAAATAAGGTTTTAAAAGTTTGATGCCAAAATTAACATACTTTTTTAAAAATAAATACCCTCTCTGAGCCCAGATATAAATCACCTCCCAGGGCCCCACATTCTCTAGGCTTTGATGTGTTCCTTTGTTGTAATTGGTGCTGGGTTCATGGGCTCCCAGATATACGCGGAGTTTACCATTTTGTTTCCTTGAGCCTTTAAAACTCAGTGCGAAATTCAAAAAGAATGATTTTAGCATTTGGCTTGACTACTCCTCTATTTGGAAAGTTAATGCTACTGAGACAAACTCCAGCACACCTGGATGCCTCAGAGACCCTAAAATGGGCCCAAAAGAAGGACAGGAAGGATATCTGCAAAAGCAATTCCGCAAGACTAATGTAAAAAAGCTGAAACACCAACTTAAACACGTAATGGAAGCACTGCATTAGCAGGACTGCCTGGCCCTCTCAGGATTTCCCAGCCCAGCCTCCACACGTAATTAATACCACATGTTTTCTTTATCATTCTATTTGTTCCGCAACAATCTCTTCCCAACTTTAACCCTGGCCTGCAGAGGCAGGAAAAACCCCTAGTAAACTTCAGATCCCTACATCTAAGAAGAGAAAGGGAAAGAATGCTCCCCACCGCAAAGGACCACAGTTACAATTTACTAGGTAACCACACCCACCGCATTGCAGAAGCCATGAACTTGGCGCGGGGGTGAAAGTGGGGAGAGGGAAGGGGGTAAGGAAGAAGTAGGGCGAGATTAAGGCAGGAAACCCGAGAAAGCGAGCCCCTGCGGCAAAAACCAGGAAACACTAGTCCGAACTGGCTGAGACCCCGACTCCAGCGGTCCCAAGTCCCGGCCTCCCCACCCCCACCGCCGCAGAGCCGCCTTCGCAGACACCTCCCAAGGCAGCTCGCAGCGCGGCAGGCAGCAGGCGCCAGGTGAGCAGCACCCTGCCGCGCCCTGGGCTGGGCCTGCCCGCGGGGAGGAGGCAGGGGTTAGGAGACCCGCAGGTGCCCAGACCCAAGAAACCTCGATCTGACGCTTCCCTCTCCTCCCCCCCTCCCCCCACCGCCGGGCTGTGTTCCCGCTGCCGACCGGGGACGTTGCCCCAGTTTGGGGAAGAAGCAAGTTATATAAAAGCGGTCAGCTCCGCTGTGGAGCATGGATGCTTTGTGCCCCGCGCACCTTACCGGCCCCACGCCGCACCCGCCAGCGACTGCACCCGGGATGAGCCCGCAGTCGCTGGGCGCAGGGCCCCTCCCGCAGCGGGCCACACGCCCAGGGCGGCGCCGCAGTGTCGCCCCCCGCCCTCCGCACCTCCCAGCACGGAAAGCTCGCTCCCTAGCGCTTTCCCCCAACCCCTGGAGTAACTTAAAACATGGCGCCCCGAAACGGGAATTTGCGCAAATTGGCAGAGAAAGGACGCGGGGACAGAGTCGCCCCTTTCGGCCAGGGCTCCGAGGGAGGCCCCCAGGCCGGAGGCCGGGCTCAGGCTACGCGCGCCGGCCTCGGCGATGCTTCGGAGCGCCCAGTGGAGCGAGCAAGTCCCCCGGAGCGGAGCGCAGTGCACTGATGGCCCAGCCCGGCGGGGGTCCCGGGGCGGGCGGCAGTGGGGAACGCGGGCCGCGCTGCGCGCTGGGCTCCCGCAATTCAGGCGGCCGCGCGGCTCCGAAGCCACGCGTCAGCCGCACAGCCCAGCGCGCCTCGCCCCCAACCTCGGGTTCGTCCTTCGCACCTCGGAAACCAGAGACCCCCTTGGAATCCTCCCTCTGCGTGAGGCAGAAAAGTTACCTGGGGTCGGCCGGGAGGCCGGGCAAGCCGCGGCGTGGGGACCAGGCTCGGGCTCGCGTCCTGGTCGGCGGTGCGCAGGAGACGGCGTGGGGAGGAAGCCGCAGCCCAGGGCTGCTCGCCGCGGCTCCCCCCCGCCCCCCTTGCAAGAGACACCGAGGCTCCGCGGAGCTGCGGCGGGGCCCACGCCCAGACAGGGTGCAAAGAAAGCCAACCTCGTCCCCGCTTCCCTCTCAGGCGCGGGGGAGGGGGCCACCGCAGTACTTTAGGACAGTTATATTGGAACAGCCTTCTCCGTCCTGGCGCAGCATCAGGCTCAGGGGACAACGCCTGGAGACAGTTGCCAATAGCCTTAGCCTTTGCATTTCCACTTAGGTAACTGCTGGGCCTCTATATCCCCTTCTCTTCTCCTCCCAGACCTCCCTGTGGGAAAGGAGGGAGGGGGTATTCCGGTGACCTTCAGGTGAGTTATTTATTGGCTTAGGGACTGCAGAGTTTTTTTCCCCCCCTTTTAAAATTCAAACTGGATGTGCCTTGCACAGGATGTGGGCTCCAGAAATGTTAACAGATAAGACTTAAATTGAAGCTTGATAAAAAGAGGTTTTCTGGTCTGTTAGCAATTCAGCTACTCTGTTCAACTCAGCTACTCAGCTTTCAGCAGAAATGGAAAGAAGGGGAATCACACACTGACTTGTAGGTGAAAGAAGATGGTCATTTCACAGTCTTGAAGCTCTAAGGCGTATTTATGTAAGAATTTTTAAGCCCTTTACAAACCACCCAGTCACCCCTTCACAAGCTCAAAGACAATAAGGGATGACAGAGGGATTCACAAAAATATTGCATTTACCAATGGGTGCCAAAGATGTGATGCAGAATAAATGCCTCTGGTGGAGATGAGTAGGTTGATCTTTCAGCCAGGCCTCAGGAAGTGGGGAGACTTGACCTGGGGTTCTAAGATAAGGAAGCTTCAATAGAAAAGGGAGGTAGCATTTGATTACCTTGCCTTGGAAGGATGGTCAACTTCTATGAGGGACAAGATTGGAAAATTATCCTTACTGTATTGCTATAGAGTTTAGCAAACTACATTTTGTAGAAGACATGTTACTTCGGGAAATATTGAGTGAGAAAGTATGAATTAAGTCATTTTAAAAAAATAACCAGAGGGCACTTCAAAGATTAGAATTGATGGGCAAATACCAGGTTGGGAGGAGACTGTGGCACTGATCCAAGTGCCAAAGGTAATGAAGACCTAGACTCTTTCAAGTGATAGATAAGGTGACATTCCAAATATTGGATACATTGGAGGGTCACCTATATTGGCCTCAAGAAATCTACATGAATGTTAAAGACATACATATCACATGCACATATGTGGCAGGGTGTGTGTGTGTTACATACAAAATCTATGAATGAAGAAGCTCTCCTTTGAAAGTGGACTTGAACAAACCATATTGTGTACAATAAATACAAAGTTGTCATTATCATTAGAGACACAGATGGGTTCATACTTCCATTCATTTTATTGCAGCATTTTTGTTAATTTTTTTTAATTGCAAGCAAATTGTTCTCTCCATGACTCATGAATCTTAATCTTTGTGGTGATAAAAATCAATGATAGTATATGAATGACTTTTTCCTAAGGGGTAAAAAAGTTAGACTACTAGGTATTCTATTTCAAAAGTGAGAAATACATAGCTGGTTATCATAATAGTTCATGAGTTCAAGAATTGGAGTATAAAGAGAGCTGCTGCATAGTTTAATAGTAAATCTGGGAAATAATTATTATGAAACTCTTTGGGCTTGACCAAGGTTCTCCACTATTCTTTTGTGTTTGTTTTTCCTAGCACAGCTATGGAGAAAAATAAATACCAAACACATGAACGACACACGAACAGGGCATACCTCCCTCGGCAACTGGCTTGCATCTCTGAAACAATGCTGTCTTCCTTCTACCTTGTTAACATCATGCAGGATCCCATCTTAGTCATCTCTGTCTCCCCACAGTGCCTTACTGGGTACATTGCAAGCCAAGCACTTATTTTTGCTAAATCAATGAATGGACATTCAATAATGAAAGAACTACACTGACACTTTTCTTTAGGGTTCAGTTTTTTTCAGATAGAAAGAAAATAAAGGACTAGTTCCAGAGTTCCATGTGCTTCAATAAATTAGGGATCCATAAAACTATAAGACATATAATGTCTGCTGAGTAGAAGCAATAATGAAAACCCAAATTCTCATCAGCATAAAAAAATAATGAGATCTTCCATTTGAAAAGAGAAGGAAAGTGACAAAGTAGAAGCATGGTGGTGACACAATTAGTTAGATGTGCTTTCTTTTCTGGAGGTCTGATTTTTCCCTAGGTCCCTCTATCACAAAGAAACCCATTTAGACCCCCAAATAAGTCTTTATTCTTGTCAATGCAAAACTCATTGTGCTTTTTCAATCAGTTAAAGACAAAATAGTTCTTGGGCTCCCTGCCACCCCGGGAATACCTTTCACACAGTCCCAAAGTTAGTGCTGATTTGGTACCAGAGCTCAGTACTTTAGACTCCTAGTTAATTATATCCAGACAACACTACTGGAATGTTATGCAAATGTTGAAATACTTTGTGAGAATTATTTCACTCCAGTTTAGGTCTTAAGATGCCCATTCTTGTCTCCTCCACTATACTCAGGCTTACTCTACAGCACACTAATTTTATTTATGGCCTTCCTATAATTGCTCTACTGGAAGCCAATAAGCCATTCTAACTTCTAGCCACAGTGCAGCCAATGGGTGCAGCGTTTTTTCAGGTAAGATGTGTAAACCTATACCCACACTGGAGAATCAGGATCCCCAGTGAACCTCCATCCAACCACAAGCATCAACAGAATACTGACTCATTGGGACTCTGCCTCCTCAATAGCAAGGATAACATCAACATAATAGCCAAGGGAAGGAAGGACAGAATTTGCAGGTTGTATTGACAGCCATGTTGTCAGCCTCATGACCTGAGAAACTATCCAAAATTTCCCCTAAATATGAGGACTGAAGGAATAGTGAAGCTTGACCAAACCCTCCAAATGTTACCCTTCTAAGCATGTACACTCATTTGTCCTCATTTATTCAACCTCAGCTGCTGCCTTAGTAAAATGTTAACAACACTTGCAGTAACTGGTTAAGGCTGATTTTATGCTCAGAATCATGTCAGGCACGAGAATTGCATTTCAAATCCTTGAAATCAGTCAGAGCAGGACTTCAGCCACAGCATTATTGGAGACCATAAATAAGAGAAATTCTGGGATGAATGCGTGATTCACAAGCAACAAGCTTATCCTTCTGAAATAAAAATTCATTTACGAGTTTCTAGGTTCTAAGAATAGTGTTAAGTTTATAGCTCATTAAGACTTCCAGATGCTGTCTTCATTCTGGTTGTGTATACACTACTTCAGGGGTCTGCATACATGCAAACCACAGATGAAAAATGAAATAAAAAGCCACTGATCAGTATGAATGCAACACACACTGTACAAACACATGTACATTAGCAGGAGCAAGATTGGACATACTAACACCATTGAGAAAAGTCATTCCCATTCATCAGAAATTTGTATTTCCCTCCTTTCTTTTTATACTCTTTATAATAATAGCCATAAAGGTGAGGCTAATAATTATTATGTGAGTTTCATTACATTAAAATATCCTTATTAATTATTTTTACATCCTCCACTTCTAGTATATTTTAGCCTCAGCCTCCCGAGTTGCTGGGATTACAGGCATGTGCCACCAAACCTAGTACATTAAGAATGTTTTCCATTTAGGGATGGAGATTATATATATATATATATATATATATATATATAAACAGAATAGTAAATATGAATAATGGGGGTTGGTCATCTGTAGTTTTATTCAATTCAACTCCCCAATAACATAAATTAAGAATGTTTTGGGGCTGGGGATGTGGCTCAAGCGGTAGCGCGCTCGCCTGGCATGCGTGTGGCCCGGGTTCGATCCTCAGCACCACATACAAACAAAGATGTTGTGTCTGCGAGAACTAAAAAAAATAAATATTAAAAAATTCTCTCTCTCTCTCTCTTTAAAAAAAAAAAAGAATGTTTTATACTGGGAAATTTTATATGCATGGTAAGATATAAAAGAATTGGAGTTGGTAATCTGTAATATTAAATTCAAGTTCCAAACAGATGATTGCTGCTGGGTTATGCCAAGATACTTAACATTTTAATCACTTCTCCCAAAAACGACATAAAATAAATGCCAGCGAGCCCCTCCATGTTGTAAATAATCCTAATCAGCCATTGTATTTCATTCCAACAGCTATCAACAAGAATTAACAGAGGAAAAAAAGAATGAGTAAGTAGGAAGAGGCATTCTGGCTTATTAACTTCCTAGTGCTATCTTCAGGTTTACATTGCCCTCTTTAGGCAAACGCATGATGGTTAACTTTTAGACTAAGAAGTCTACAGCAATGACTACTCTGAGGAAAAAAAAATGTCAGTCTTGCCTCTTAATTTGATTTCTCTTTTCCAACACTTTTCCCCTTTCCAGTGGCCACAGTGATGTGTATTTGCCAGCGTGGTTACCACCTGAAAATGGGATTGCACTGGAATCCACAGCTTCCAGAATGCTCTGGAAATCAATGAAAACATCATCTTCAATGTCTATGTCCCTTGAAATAAATTTGTTTAATAGGTCAAAGCCATTTAAGAACCAGCCATAGTGGTTCAAGATGTTATTAGGGATTTTCCTGAATATGCAAAGATGACTCATTTAAAGGTAATAGATTGGAAAAGAATACTGGGGTTTCTCAAACTAAGTTGCCTGCAGTTTACTAAGTTACATATGTCAATAATAAATTTAGAAGGTGATAAACATATCATACCATTTATATCAGAGTGCTCATTAATAATGCAAATTTATGAATTCAGCCCCAGACTAAGCAAATTAGAAGGTCTGGGATGGGGTCCAAAAAGCAGGCCATTATGAACAAGCTCTCCAGATGATTATAATTCCCATTGACTTTTGAGAGCCACTGATCTAGGTGGCCAGCTGATGTAACACTCCCACAGGTGACAAAGGGTATACAGAGGTTCATAGAAGCTAGAATAGAAAAAAAAAAATGGTATCAAAAAAGCCTCACTGTTACACCCAGGTGCCTGAATTGAAGATAGTCTACACCCCAACAGTCAGTTCACATTTTACAGAAGAGTGATTGCTTGGATCCTGTCATTGTATGCATCAGGATGCAACAGCAGTTCATTAGCAGTAAGTATGGTAATAAATAACAATGAAAGATTGTTCTGTTCCCGGTTCCAGCAATAATTGCATTAGATGCCCATTTATTGAAGATTGCAGAA